CCAACGGCTGGAACTTTGGTGGCTGCTGCAAGTCCGTTGGGGATGTCAGTGAACTTGAGCTCGCTAGAAGGAGAAATATATCCCGGAAATCTGAAGAACTCCTGCACAATGTATCCTTAGTATAGCCACACTGTATTAAAGAATTGTTAACGTCATTACGTAATCATGTCATCATGTCACGCTGATGATCTGCAGCTTGGGTTCCGGTGCAGGCCAACATAGAAACCCGGCCGTGCTTGATCTCGACAACGCGTCGTCGGTAGAATTCCCTTGCATCACCGTCCTGAGCTGGTTGCAGCTTGACGGAGGTTGTTGGGTGGGAAAGGCAAAAGCTTGCCAACGAGGACATTATATTACTATATATATCCTTTAGTTGAAGAACAATTCCTTGCGCAACGTCACAAACATCAGCTTTCCTTTGCCCAATGTTCCGCATGATTTGCCCTTCGTACGCCCCACGTATGCCCATGCCACCAAATCCAGGGTAGTTGCATCATGTTGCATCCTTGATACATCTGGCTTGTAGCATTCTCTACCACCCTTGTTTGGCAAAGAATGCTCTTCAATCTGCTTTGGCCTGTTTCCTTGTTCAGTCGCAAATGCAAAGAGCAGGGTTGTGAAATGCCCCACCTTCATCCCGTGAGTCCCATTCCGCAGCCAAACATGTTTGGATTTGACCAAGTGCTTGCGCTAGTTCGAATTTTTCAAGAATCGCACGATAACATGATAAAATAAATCATAACACCAGTAAAGTGATGTTGAGAACCACGCAAATTGAGTATATAATATATAGAATGAATATTGTTAGATACACTCAAAAGTTCTGTTTCACCAATCCCGATTGAGTTATGCTGCTGCAAATCGGATAAGCTTTTTCGACCACAAACATCCATAGGTCCGAGCTACGCTGCAACGGACGCTGCGACGCTGCGCGGCCTGACGTGCCACGACCGACGCGTCCCGACGCGCCAAGCATCGCTGGACAAGCCGGCAGGGTCCCAGAAGCCCAGGGGTGGCTGGACGCCGAGTTCATTCTCGAAGGCGCCCCGGCTGGTCTGGCCTTGCTGAAACAGGAGCCAGATGCCCAGAACTTTCGAGCAGGTCCGTGCAGCAAGTTGGTGGGTACAAGATGGTTGGAGGTTCATTGGATCCATGTGAACACGCCAAGGCCAAAATGTGGGTGAAGCTCAAAACCGGCACGGAAGCATCCAAAGGATAAACAACAACCGGCCTTGTGGAAGTGCAGTTGGGAGTCATTGGACGGTGAAAACAGGGACATGGTCGGAAACGCTTCTGGCTTTCCCAGAAAAGGATTTAAAAAAAAGAACAATCAAAGAATAACCACATGACATGAATGATCATTCTGCTAGTTATTTTTTACTAGAACATACTGCACTCATCCAGCCAAGGGAGTCGGTGTCGGTTTCGCCGATGAAAAGGAGATTACCAAGGTTGGACCTCCGAAACCTCCAAGGAGAAATGATTGCAACATACTGCAACTGTTGACGGTGCCCACCCCTCTTCATCGTGCGAAACCCAGCTTCCAACGGTCAAGGGACTGGATGAGCTGGAACTCCCAAATCCTTTTAGGGTAAAACCATTCGAACCATTTGTGCCATTCGTTGTTGTTTTCTTTCTTTGATGAGCTTTGATGAAGTTTTCAGGGTCTGCTTGACCAACGGCTTTGTTCCACAAACCCCTAAAACGCCCGAGCCACCCACACGGCCGCTCTTCCTCACCGCGGCGACCAGCGTCGCGCCCAGCGCTGCGGCGCCTGGCAGCTGGGTCCAGTGCAGTGGTGAGACTCACAATGTATAAGTTAAAGGAACAAAAGTACAGGTTGAAACCATGAAAAAGTATAAATTTCCTGTAGTGTTTTCCGGGTTTTCACTTAAACCATTACAACACGGTCAGCTCAAAGTGTTGACGCTTAGACCTACACCCACGAACTGGGTGGCAACCTGGCACAGCCTGAAAAAATACCAAACCAATTTCTATTTGGTTTTGATATGTTTTGATGCACACCCACATATTGTGAATATTATATATATACACATGTTTATTAACTTTTTTTCCAAACAAACATATGCTACACCCCGAAAAGTTAACCTTTCTTGCTGGGTTTTGTGAGCATTGGAGTGTCTTCTAGACATGAGATATGTAAGCATGAAAAACATGGTCGCGATGGAAGAGTGTGCCAGAGATGAAGTTTTTTGTGGCAGATGCAGGGTGTTTTTTTGTGGATGTGAGATGCGAATGCATGCTGGTGCCTCATTGTGGAGCACAATAGTTGACATAGGATTGCAAAAGCGTGAATCAGGTGCAGCGTTTGGCCGGTGCTTTTTCGTGCGCGAGCAAAGCACAAGATCAGGCAACAATATCAGACATGTGGTCGCTGCAATGCCACTACTCATATTGGGCTGCGCTAGCGCAGCAAAGTGTGGCAACCGGCTTTGGTGCTTGAACCTTTGGCCAGTTCCTTCATCCGCCGACCCCAGTCGACAACGAATTCCCCTGCGACTCAGTCCACTGGCGTCCCCACACCGGATTGGCCCCGGGGGTGGAGGTTAGCACTTACAGACTGGATCATGAAGTTGATTGGCTGTTGAAAAGAATTGTTGTGCGGTCGTCTTTGGAATTCTTGCACTTCTTTTTGGCGTGGTGCGAGAAAATACTGCGCCGTCGGACTTTGGGGAGGAACAATTCATCCTCCGAAGTCAATATATAGTCATATAAATATACGTTTATTGTCATTCATATAGTTTAAACATTTATCTTCCCAGAAAGACATGATCATCGAAACCCGCCAAGGTCCGGCATCTGTTCGTCATTCCGTGAGGTGTCATTCCGTCGGCCCTGCCTACAGTGCTCATGCCAGTGGCACTGATGGAGCCCGAGGCATTTCCGCGGAGCGCAGGTCGGGCCGTGGGTGTTGCCACACGCTGGCTTGGCAAGGACACGAAGGCAGTTCCTGCCACCACAGCAGCAGCGGCTGCAGTCTTCGACATTTGAGGGGCCATCGCTGGTTTGCACTTGCCGCTTGCTACCTCTGCCAATATGGCTGCGCAACGAAAAGCTCCTGCAAAGAACATAAAGCACATCGAGCTGTAAGCTTGTAGAAATGAAGCACATGACATGAAGTAATGGTCTTCAAGACAGTGAACACATCATTTAGATCATTTAGGCCACTGTCTGCCTCTTCATGGTCCGGCATCCAGAGTTCGACAAATGTTCAACAGCAGTGGCTTCATTCTTTTTGCGCTCCCAAACTATCCCCGGTGCCAAACTTTCATGCAAAGGCAGGGCCTCAATGATTCCTCTGCTCAAGCTGACGGTATTGCACGAGATACATGCCATTGGACTAGTGACTAGAAATGTGGAAAGCAACAAGAGATGAACGAAACCATCGTCTTGCCTGGGCGTCTTCAGGCTTGATCAAAGGTCAGACTACGGATCTCGCCATTAGCGATAACCGATCCAACATGAACAGCAGCTTGCCACACGATCTTTGTGCATGTATTGTCCTGTCTAGCTCAATGATCGGATCTCAATGAGATAGAGTTATATAGATTGAATTTGATCCTTTTGATAAAACCATGTTCACCACCCCAGGAGGTGAGGCAAACCGAAGCTTCTGCTTCAGCACCCTTGTGTGAAGGCGGTCGATCGAACCTGAGTGGCTGGAGACGAACGTTGACCATCGGTCACACGGGGGGGTTCGAGCCCTTAAATCGGACCGGTTTGTTGACAACCGGTTGTGCTGTGCCTCATCATGCCTCGGCCAATCCCCAAAAAATCTGCTCATGATCTGCTCACGTTGCAAAGGAAAAACAAATAAGTTTTGTTGACTGCTGGGCTGAATGGGATTGAAAGAATTGTATAACCTGTAAAGACTGTCAGGTACCAGGACCATTCAGGTCTCCAATCTGGACTGCCCGGACTGGGCTTCACACTGTGAAAACACATGGCAACAATTGCTTGTGTATATAATATATATGTATATATGTATAGTGAAATAGCGTCTCTCACACAGCTCAAGATCAACATGATCAACTACAAACAGTTACATGCGGAATTTGAATGGTACGGTACTGATGATCACAAAATGCACAAATGAAGGAAGGCACATAAACACAAAGGAATCTGAGATCCGGGTCTCTTGATCTCTCAGTCGCTGCTGTTCTTTCGCAAACCCCTTCTTACGTCGTCCAACCACCTTCTGACGTCGTCGC